TTATTCATCTCATTTTTTTTGTTAAAGAGAAACATTTGGATCTTTTTAAAACTAATGGAGATTAGATTTGTTTAAAAATTTTAACAGATTTTCAAAGTTATGAAACTGAGGTTTTTGTTTTCTTGAATACTTTTACTTTTACCATTTGACTAAGTTCTTGGATGTTAACATGAAATATAAACTTTATTTGAATAATTTCTTGAGAGGTAAGTGTGGTATAAAGGTAATTTTCTTGTTGAACAGCAATACTAGATAGTAAAGAACAGGGTCATAGTAATGTTTGTAGTCAAACGTATTTTGCAGAACTACATATTTGTGTAATTTTGTTTCATTATTTGGCAACATAAGCTAATTGAGATAAATGTGTTATGAATATTAATTTGTCATATAAAATTGTAGTCATAAAATCTTAAACACTTACACTTCAAGCTTAACTTATGATGGCTAAAGCTTATGACTTCATTTCCAGGGAATAGATTAAATTTATTTTTATCAAGTATGAGAAACTATATTATATAATCAGTGATTTGAAGTGCATTTTTTCTATACATATAGATATATTTAATGTAAAGAAATCACTTCTTAGTATAATAGTATATATATATATAACCAGGGTTTTTTTTTACTAACAAATTGACACCGATAGTTGGTGTCTTCCCCTCGGTAAATAGCCAAGTTTTTTCCCCCAAAAAATTCTATTTTTACTTTAAACTAAATCAGATTTAATATTTACATGATTTAAAATATTAATTTTATCCAGGATAAACCAACAATTGTAGACCAAAATAACCAAAAACATTGCAGGAAACTTCAAGTTATTTAATAACTGTCTCAACATGGAGGCAGCCATTTTTTTTCTTGGCTATATCCCATACTGAACTGTACTATTTATATAAATGAGTTGCTATCAAAATATTGTCATTTTCTTGGTTATTTTTAGTAAAGTAATATATTTTGTATTTCTTATTATGAAAATGACTTGTATGGAGCTAAAGTGTGTCACAGATACACTATTATACCTATACTGTATTAAATTTCATACAAAAATGGAAGTATAAAAACCATTCACCACCATACATATTAAGAAAATATGTTATACTGCAAAGAATATTTTGCATGATGATAAAGTTTTTAAGGGGAAAAAGATATAGTTGTAACTCTCTACTATGTAGTTAAGTATATACATTTAGTATAAATAACGTCATAATAAATTTTCCCCAAATTGATTTTTTTCGTATATTTTTCCCCCTCCCTACCAGCGTCCAGCGTCTTCCCCTTTTCTTAAAAAAAACCCCTGATAACAGCTGCTGCAATCAGCTTTAGAAGATTTCATTAAGTCTTATAGCACCCTGAGTTTGACATTAGGAAAGCAATACCCATGCCACCACTTTTCTTTAACCTTGGTCTGCACTGGCGGCCAGTGCAGACCAAGGTCAGTGAATTCACTGTGCCATCTGATCATGATCTACACAGTTGGCTATACTGTTGGTATTTATTTTTTTGAAATTTTTTGAAATTTTCCCAGATAAGATGAATGGTTTTGTGTAGATCAAAAATTTGACAACAAGGTTGAATAAACTGTGCACTTGTTCAACCTGGTCTTTCAAAGTCCCCTTGTGCAGACTTTAATAATTATATAATAACTATGATTATCTCTATAATAACTTAGTAATAACTCTATAAATTTTGTTGTCATGTATCTGTTAAGTGTCTCTTGCATAATTTTCTGGAATTTATAGAAAGTTTCCAACATGCTTTCAGAAAATGATGAAGTATAAATTGTTAACTTTGTACAATTTCAGCAGGTGCCGAACAGAACCAAAAAAAATCTACTTTTGTACTTCTATAATTAATTTAGTAGTAAATGGAACAAAAACATTTGTACTTCTGTCAATTTCCTAAAAAACTTATCGTGAGATATTGCAAGACTTCACTTGTCATGAAGATATGTTCTTAGAAAATATTTTCATGATATATTGCAAGACTTCTCATGTCATGGAGATATGTTCTTGGAACATCTGTTCCAGAACATAACCTTGAATAATCAAAAAATAGTTATCTTGCTTCTGTTATGTAATATGTTATGTAAATAATCTGTTTTTTTTTTTCACAGAACAGAAAACATCAAAATGTTGTCACAATTTTGCAATTTTTTAATATATTTTTATTACATCTCTTTCATTGCTAAATGTGTGCTATGAATTTGTCTTGTTTTGAATTTGAAACTGTCAGAAACATTTGATATGAGCACCCATCATTATGCATGTAGAATCTCGTATAATTACTGTACTTGGAGCCTTTAGAGACTAAGAGAGCCCGTCTGTAAAAATTGGTGGAAAATAAAGCAGTATTTTTGTAAAATTGGGAAGAAAAAAATTTGATTTCACTTAGGGGAATACTAAATCGTTTTAAATAATTACCTTTGGGAAGAGGGTTTGCAGAGGTAGGAAGCACTGATATTTAGGCTGGCCTTTGCTCTATAACGGTGGCATATAAGTCAAAGAAGTAAATCTTTTTTCTTTTCTTTTTTTTTTGGGGGGGGGGGATTTTTTCGATGTTGTAAGCATGAAATTAGAATGTTTACTTTTGTATATGGCTTTATAAGACCAAATACACTCTAAATAGTTATGAATTTGTAAAATAGTCTCTGCAGTCAAACCACAGTGATTTATAAGGCCCTTTCCCAATTGAAATTTTGTAGAAAATAGTGCAGTTTCCCCAGATATCTGAACTTACACCAATAATTTTTCTGAAATAAGGACTCATTTAGGCCTCTCCCCAAATAAATAAGAAAAACCAGGGAACCAAACTAGGCTGTTTATTATTAGCATTTTGATGTCAGAAAGCAAATTCATTCAGAGCAGGAGTATGATTTTAAATTTAGCATGTGTGATTACATCAAGTGTTCAAAGAAAAATATGTTCATACATCTGTGAATTTAATAGTTTATAATGCACAGATGATGGTGACAGAAGTTCAGACCATATTGTGTAAGGTCAATAAAAAGTGCATGAGACAGACTGTTGTGTCATTTGTATATTGTAATAATAGCAATATTTAAAGATCAGGTTTTGATGTTTTTGCTACCTGATAAAAAAAAAATTGAGCAGCATATAGTTGTCACTTTATCCTTTAGCGTTTCTATTATTCTGCAGCACTTTCCTACTGTTTATACTAGTAACTTCATTTATTGACCATAGAAATAGTTGTATTAGTACATATACTTATGGGGCGTCCGTGGCCGAGTGGTTAAGGTCGTTGACTTCAAACCACTTGCCCCTCACCGCTGTGGATTCGAATCCCGACAGGGACTTTAGATTCTTTTATGTGAGGAAGCTATCCAGCTAGCTTACGGAACGTCAGTGGTTCTACTCAGGTACCCGTTCATGCCTGAAATAATGCACGGAAGGGCACCTGAGGTCTTCCTCCACCAGTAAAGCTGGAACATCGCGATATGACCTATACTGTGTCGATGTGACTTAAAACCCAAAACAAACAAACATATACTTTGGGGAAGTACCCTTGGGGAATTAAGGGTCACTAGGTTCAAGGTCAGGTTACGGATGTTAAAAAGATCTTTACACATTTGCTCATACAGCCTTTATTCAATGACCAGTGTCTTTGGTAGTCTCATACAGGCACCTTGGGTGGTTCTTTAAAATTTTGGTTGGACTTTTGGATCACTAGGGTAAAGGTCAAGATCACTAGGGCTAAAAATAGATTTTTACACTTGTACAGCCTTCATTCTTTGACCAAATTTTGTTTTGTATTAGTTAGGTTAATACTTCAGTGTCTTTCTTAAATCAAAAGGCCCAGGCCCTTTCACAATTTACTGACTGTCATTCATTATTTTTCAAGGTAACTAGTAAATGCTTCTGAATTACAAGTTTGCCCATAGCCCTTTTTCCTAATGTGACATTTTTTGCGGATTCAAAATTCCCACTATTCTCAAAATAGTAGTTTTGCTATACCCAACTTAGAGAAATTAATGGCTCTGTTATCTCAAATTTTATGTTTTTCATGTTTTTCATAAAGAAAAAGACTTTGTTAGAATTGTGTTGTTTTATAGTTTTATGCACTGATAGGGATTTGTTGAAATAATAATAAGTCAATATTGCTGTCATCACATCTAAGTCTATCCTTTTTCACAGGCACTTGTAGGTGAAATATGTGTTAATGTCTCAGATACTTGATAAATTTAAGCACATTTCTCAGAAGTCATTAGATCCAATTCCTTTATGATATGCCACTTTGGTTTTGATATTACAGTACACTTTCTCATTGTGGATTTTTATAAATGATGAAAACAAATTTTGTATAAAGTTTTGAGAAGTCATTATAGCCACTTTGTTTCATTTGTGATTGTAGTTATTTAAGAATATACATTGTCACCTTAGTGCAATAATGGGTTAACTCCTATTGAATTTTATAAGGATTTAGCCTGTTACTGCACTAAGGTGATAAGAAACACATTGTTAGTACTGTATAAGGTGCTAATAAGTTGCTGCTTTGTTTATATTTGTAATATGAAGCTTCTGTTATGATAAGGCTTTCTTTCCACAGATAGGGCAAGCGGTCCTAGCCCTAAATCGACAGCAAAATGACAAATTTTGCGAAAGGGGAAGAAAGAGCTTGGTGGTACATGTAATTGAATTTAAGGGCAAAACTTGATGAGTTGCAAGAGCTTGATGGTAATTAAATTTCAGGGCAAAACATAAGAGCTTTGCTTCAATTCCTTCTTTGTTTCAATGTGTATTGCACATGCTCTGCATTGAATTAAGAGCTGTCAGTATTTGAATTAAGAGCTGTCAGTATAGTAAAAATGGGTTTCAACAAAAAATATGAAAGAATTGAGCAGTCATCAGTATATAGTTTAGTCAGTCTGGATGAAGGGATATACTGGCTGGCAAGGCATCTAGGCATCCTGGTGCCATAGACCCATCAATGTTGCCACTGGCATTATGTGATATCTTATCAACTTATGTGATATCTATTTTTAGCCTCGTCTTCAGCGGGGGACGTACAGGGCACAGATTTGAAGTATGGCTTTGATGAATTGTGTCCAGTATGTGGAGACAAGGTGTCCGGATATCACTACGGTCTACTTACCTGTGAAAGCTGTAAAGGTAGGTAATACATTTTCTTAAGAATTACAGAGGAATCATATAATAAAAAGTGTAAGAATTTTAGGGAAAATTTTTGGCTGAAATTCAGCCATATTACTTTCTCCAAAAAGTATATAATCTAAGCATATTTCTATAAAAAAATATCTCCTAAGAGTTGGGCAGAGAGGACCATTTCAACATAATGCATGATATTGTGTCACAATTTTACAATGAATGAAGTCTTATCCATTTTCAAGAATAGTATGTTGTTATTTTACTATTTGCATAAATTCAAAAAATATATCATGTATAGGCTAACTTTTTTATGCTCCCCGAAAAAATTTCGGGGGAGCATATAGTCGCCGCCTTGTCCGTCCGACCGTCTTTCCGTCCGTCCGTCCCCTTTTCTTGTCCGGGACATAACTTTGAAACAACAAGAGGTATCAACATGAAACTTTGTAGGTAGATAGATCTCATTGAGTAGGTGTGCAGTGCACAAGAACCGTAACTCTGCCTTGCCTAATTTTTGAATTATTCCCCTTTGTTTATTTTTACACTTTGAACTTTGTCCAGGACATAACTCTAAAAGTATAAGAGGTATCAACATGAAACTTTGTAGGTAGATAGATCTCATTGAGTAGAAGTGCAGTGCACAAGAACCGTAACTCTGCCTTGCCTAATTTTTGAATTATCCCCCTTTGTTTATTTTACACTTTGAACTTTGTCCGGGACATAACTCTAAAAGTATAAGAGGTATCAACATGAAACTTTGTAGGTAGATAGATCTCATTGAGTAGGTGTGCAGTGCATAAGAACCGTAACTCTGCCTTGCCTAATTTTTGAATTACCCCCCTTTGTTTATTTTACACTTTGAAATTTGTCCGGGACATAACTCTAAAAGTATAAGAGGTATCAACATGAAACTTTGTAGGTAGATAGATCTCATTGAGTAGAAGTGCAGTGCACAAGAACCGTAACTCTGCCTTGCCTAATTTTTGAATTATTCCCCTTTGTTTATTTTACACTTTGAACTTTGTCCGGGACATAACTCTAAAAGTATAAGAGGTATCAACATGAAACTTTGTAGGTAGATAGTTCTCATTGAGTAGGTGTGCAGTGCACAAGAACCGTAACTCTGCCTTGTCTAATTTTTGAATTATCACCCTTTGTTTATTTTACACTTTGAACTTTGTCCGGGACATAACTCTAAAAGTATAAGAGGTATCAACATGAAACTTTGTAGGTAGATAGATCTCATTGAGTAGGTGTGCAGTGAACAAGAACCTTAACTCTGCCTTGCCTAATTTTTGAATTATCCCCCTTTGTTTATTTTTACACTTTGAACTTTGTCTGGGACATATTTCTTAATGTATAAGAGATATCAACATGAAACTTTGTAGGTAGATAGATCTCATTGAGTAAGTTTGCAGTGCACAAGAACTGTAACACTGTCTTGCCTACTTTTGTAGTTATTGCCCTTTGTTCATTTTGACACTTTGAACTTTGTCTGGGACATTACTCTAAAATTATAAGAGATATCAACATGAAACTTTGTAGATAGATAGGTCTCATTGGGTGGAAGTGCAGTGCTTAAGAATCATTACTCTGCCTTGCCTTATTTTGAAGAAATTGCCCTTTGTTTATTTTTACTTTTTGACTTTTGTCCTGGACATTACTTTAAAACTATTAGAGATATCAACATGAAACTTTGTAGGTAGCTAGATATAATTGGATAGAACTGCAACGCTTCAAGAACCTAAACAAAGCCTGGTCTAATTTTGGAGTTATTGCCCTTTGTTCATTTTTTTTATACTTTCCTGTGTCCAGAACCTTCTCGGGGAGCATCACCCGGTTCAACCGGTTCTTGTTTTATTATTTTTCATTTAAAAGGTTTGGTCCCTACTACATGAAGCATTCTTAGTGTTCACTTTAAACTCTAATATTTATCATGTATATATTTGACAGGTTTTTTCAAGCGCACAGTACAGAACAAGAAGGTGTATTCGTGTGTAGATAACAGAAGTTGTCATATTGATAAGAGTCAGAGAAAAAGGTGTCCATATTGTAGATTTCAGAAATGTCTCAATGTTGGAATGAAACTAGAAGGTAAATATATCTCTAGTAGGCCTAAGTGTATCTACTTTTGTTGTTTAAAGGCACATTAATAAGCCCCATAATAGTATCTCAGAAGAAATCACAAACCTGGGTTTTATAATTAAATGATTTGATAATGGATTGAGAGCATGTTAGATGATATATCATGGAAAAAGAAGTGTTGAAAGAGAAATATGTCGTCATAAAGGTAATACAATGTGTATAGTAACAAAAGTTATATTTTGTCTTCCATTTAGAATAATAAATCATATACATGTAATTATAGCTTTACTATTTGTCAAATTCAGGTATATGGCCAAAGAGTACCTGAAAGACACTAAAAAAAAAAGCTTTTAAGAAATAGTAAAGATTGCTTTTTTAGGGCTTAATGGTTAAGGAATAACATTAAAAAAAAATTCAGGACATGTAATCAATACATTAAAGCTTTGAATGAAAGCTTTCCTATTTTGTAATATTATATTGTGACGTTAAGACAGAGCTCACCAGGCTGTCAGCACCCAGCATTTAAGATGTCTAGCTTTCAGTTCCTAGCCAGTTGAACCAGACTGTGTTCTTTTCACAGACAATTTTCCAAATTTCCCATAATTGATAATGAACAGTTAAAAATGGAAGAAGACAAATTACAAGACCTTTTAAGAAACTCAGCAGCCAGATTAAATTTGATTCTTGATGTGTATTTGGCCATATCAGTTGTTATGCCATCTTGGTCATATAATGTCTCTAACAGGGAATGTTACTCAGCATCATGATAAGAAAGTTTTTAGAGTGACAACTTGATTTTTCTCCGTTTGAATTTATCGAACTATCCATATAACGCAACATGTTTCAGTTACATAATATATTCCATTCTTTTATAGCTGTAAGAACGGATCGCATGAGAGGAGGACGTAACAAATTTGGACCCATGTATAAAAGAGACCGAGCTCTCAAACAACAAGCCCTTCGACAACAACAGCAAATGTTGGCAACCTGCCAAATGAGACTAGCTAATGGAATAGACCCATTCTCTGTGACGAGCGGTGCAGAACCACCGGACATAAAACCAGACCCAGCATTTCTCATGTCGGTGGCAAATAGTCTTGGTTACGGCATGAATAATAACCTCAGTCAACCCCATACGCCTACGACATCACCAACCGGTTCGGGAATTCCGTCACCGACGGTGTCTGATAACTCACCGCACGATTTACGCCTGTCTGCCCCTGCATCTACTTTATCACATTCACAAGGACATATTAATACAAACTCTCAGGGAATGTATACAAACACAGGGAACTATTTCCCGTCCACGGGTAATATGGCTCCCACAGGAGGTTACCAATCGTATTATCACGCAGTACCACATCCCTCAAACATGCCTTTATTACCCCAGTTGGTAGTGGATTTAAAAGCTAGTGCGTTAGATGAACGAGAAATGAAAAATAAACTATTGTCATTTGTGGACTCAGAGTTCGGTACAAATGATATCACCAGTGAAAATTACCAGTCTAAATTACTTCAGTTGTTGTGTAGACTGTCAGATCAACTGTTGTTTCTTATGGTTGAATGGGCGAGGACATCTGTATTCTTTAGAGAACTTAAGGTTAGTATGATAATTGTGTTAATAATACACATACATTTGTATAATATTTTTAATGACTTACGCCTAGACGAACGTAAAATTTTAGGATACTTCTAAAAAATTGATAAAACAGTTTAAATCACTATTGTAGAAAGTCTTGCTGCTGAGAATTTCATCCAAGTCACATTGTTTCATAGGCTACAGGACACTAAGTTTTTACGGTTTGTGTCCTTAGCTTTGCTTTCAGGTACCAAAAGAGGCCTTTTGCTTTTGTTCAAGTACATAAATGGGCCCTTTGCTTTGTTTTCAGTTACAAAAAGAGACCCTTAAGGAAACAATTACACTTTTAAGAAGAAGCATTTAATGAGTTATAACATTTTTTGATAAAAATATATCTGGTCTGCAGTCTGAGTCATCTGATAAATTCTTTTACAAAAATGTTAAGTATAGTCACTATATGTGAGATATTATTTGTTGCAGTTCACAATGATATTGAATTAACTAAGATATTTGTATTTGGATTACTCTCTTCAAAAAGAGGAACGAGAAATACGGTGTATTATATTCAGAATGTTATTAATATCATTAATGGCACTTGTTTTTAAAGTCACCTGGGTCCCTCAAGTACTAAAAGGGCCCTTTAATATTTGAATCTGACTTACTTGTAATAGGCTGAAAGAAATGTGTATGTGTCATATTTAGCAGGTGTCAGGAAAATTCACTAGGACTGTTTAACAAATTGGTACTATGTGAGTTTATTCTGAGCAAAATGAATAAAATAGTAGGTTTCAGCGTTTGTAGTATATTGGGGGGACAGTCTGTTTTATATTTGAGGAGGTTATTTTTAATTTTATTGCAAAAAGAGTGATTTCTTGGTTATGAGGTGGCCTGAAATACATTTGAGACAGCCATTTTGGCCAACAGGCGCCTCTTGATGACAACCTTATGGTTGATTTTGTATTTTTGGCCAGGTTGCACTGGTGCAAACCTGGGTTATAGTATGATGAATGTTGGGCGGCAGGTGGGCGGCGGGCGGGGAAAAACTTTGTAACAGTTTTCTCAGCAACTACTTATCACAGCCTTTTGATATTTGGTATACAGCATCAACACATGGTCCCATACTGTGGGATTCGATTTCACGTCTGTCGCTCATCTACTTCCTGTTTGCCGACTTAGTTAAATTTTCAACATTAATGGTCAGACAGTGGTAGAAAATTTAAGTAACATCACAGCCTCATGATATTTTGTATACATATGCAACCCGGCCTTTTCTGTCTTTGACCCATTTTTTATAGTGAAAATTAGTAAAATTGTTATACTTAAATGTGTATTTAAATGATTCAGTCTTGTAACATTCTGAACATGAAGTCCAGAATCAATGTGAGTGCTTACCTGCACTTCAAAGAAATCAATACTTAACAGTTAAATAAGTATCTGATTAAAGTAACTGTTGTACTAAGCCTAGGTAACACAAGCTGTGTTCCAGCTGTGATTCTGTAGATAACTGATGTTTTTAGCTTGAAACTCGTGGCTAAAATATAGGACTTTACCAATTTGATGACACTTATGAAAGTTGCACGATTAAGTCTAGAAAATTAATTCACAAAAGGTTGTTGCAATTTCTCCCAACTAGCTCAGGTTTTAGGGCATATATGGTTTATGAAATAATACCATTTATTTATTCCTGCTGGAACTGAAGATGATAAGAGAGCAAGGCCAGTCATAAAATTTGTACAGTCTGACCAGACTCTATATATTACCGCTAGCTGATTTAACTTAAAATTTTCATCTTGACATCCCCCAAAATTGATAATGGACAGTTCCAAAATGGAAGCTCGACAAGTCCATTTAAGAAGTTCAGTAGGGTAAGGGTGAACAGTCGGGGAAACAAGTGCACAATTCAGAATATGCTAGCTCAGATGATTAAGATATCAAGTAAAGATAAGAATAGACTGGCTGAAACGTCAGACCATGCAATATAGGGTCTTAATTTTTTGTTTGCAAAGTATTGCATATAGGGAAATATTATAACTGCAGATATGAAATTTCATACTTTTCTTTTGAAAATGCATGCATGCATTGTGTATCAAATGTTGTTAAGAGTAAAGCATATCATTGCACAAACTTATATGCAAATACTAGCTGCTGATTGCAGCATAGAAATTTCTCTTTAAGGTATTAAGTTACATATATTAAGTTGTGTCATAATTTTCCTTTAACCCTTCTCTACCCTGTTTGAACTGAAAATTATTGGTCTTAGCCACGAGTATAGAGCCAGGCCAGCGTACACATCTGTGCAGTCTGATCAGGAAATATATTGTTGGTTGATTAACTTAAAATTCTGATATTGAATTCCCCAAAATTGATAATGAACAGTTTTAACTTCCCAAGCTGGGAAAACTAATGTAGGGGCAGGTTAAGGGTTAAAACTATGACTTGTTTAATCCAAACAAGATACTTTTGATTTTTTTGTTGTTGTGAAGTTCACTTTTCAAGGAATCAACTGAAATGGTATATTTGTAAAAGGAGAGAAACAAAGGACTGCTGCCATTATAGCGTTTATCAAAGTCAGTCCCTTCTAGATGTTACAGGTTACAGCATTTTTCAGTAGTTATTTTATTAAATTATTTCATCTCAGTGAAAACGTCATGATTGTTATTATCATGATTGTTATTGTTATAATTGTTATCAACATATCTTTTATCATCATAATTGTTATTGTCATAATTGTTATTGTCATGGCTGTTATCATCATAATTGTTATTATCATGATTGTTATCATCATAATTGTTATTATCATGATTGCTATCATCATAATTGTTATTATCATGATTGTTATCGTTATAATTGTTATCAACATATCTTTTATCATCATAATTGTTATTGTCATAATTGTTATTGTCATGGCTGTTATCATCATAATTGTTATTATCATGATTGTTATCATCATAATTGTTATCATCATAATTGTTATCATCACAATTATTATCGTCATCTTTGTAACTACAGGTTGAAGACCAGATGAAGTTATTACAGAATTGCTGGAGTGAAATATTAATTCTGGATCTTGCTCATCGTCTACTCAGACAAACGTGGTCCGGAGAACTGATATTGGTATGTGAATAACTTACTTCTTATCACATTGATAAATCTGCATTTATAAAGGATCTTATATTTGGTGTCATTGCGATAAAGCTTCATGCCTCCAGATAAGAAAAAATTAAACTCCTGAGAAAAAAGATAGAAGATTTTAAGAAAAGTAAAAACATGTAGTAATGATTTACATGTTATATGCAATGAATGACTAAAATGGCAGTATTCATTTAATTTACCTTATTTCTACTGCATGACTAACACAGTAAGGGCTAGTTTTGCATATTTTGACCTTTGTTAGAGAATTTACTTGGACTGAACGCACCATTAGCAATCTGTAAGTTACTTCCTTTGTTTTCTTGACAATATTTGCTTTAAGACTTGCGTAAAATGAATTTGATGAAACATTGGATAAGTTTGATATATTGGTATTTCACATTGCAAGCTGGCAGAAAATCTGAAATGGTATGTATAATGAAGAATCTATTGTTATGTTGATAGGAAAAGAGTCGTAGATTTAACGATCAGATATTGAAATATTGTCACGTAATTTCAGGCAAATGGACACAGGCTTAGCTTAGATTGTCTTGAGGACTTGGGTATACCCGATATAAAGGATCGCATACTGGATATAGTACGGAAAATGAAGGAACTCAAAATTGATGACAACGAATACACGTGCCTCAAGTTTCTTATACTATTGAATCCAGGTAAATTAGTAACCATTATATTTTGGAGTAATTTATCAAGTTTACTGTGTACACAAAAAATTAATTTTTGAGTATTAAAGATGTTGCCATGATAACTTGAAAATACAGATAAATAAATAATGCCATATTTTACACAGGATAACATTGAACAACTTTTGAAAGTCTGCTTTATGAAATTCTAAATGTTTTCACTTTGAAGGAATATACATGGCTTATAGAAATCCAGGAGTCCCTGGTTCCATCCACAGTTGAGGGGAAATTTTCCCCAAACATTGAATCTTATGGTCATTTGTCTCTCACTTGCTTACTTTGTCACTTGCGGAAAATTGGTGATTACTGGTTAGTTGTCCAAGAAATATGATAAGATGAGTTGACCGCTGAGATATAACCTTAAAATGTGTCTTTCAGTTAGAAGCTGAAATTCTCCATACAATTATGTGATTCTATACTTGCCTAACATTCTTTAAGTGTTATATTTGATTTTTCAGACGTGTCTAACATCGACTGTCAGGAGTTTGTAGAGAGTTGTCAGGAGAAGGTTCAGGCCGTCCTTATGGAATATTGTGTCAATTTTTACCCGAATGTCAAGGACAAGTTTAGTCAAGTGTTGCTACGACTACCGGATATCAAATTAGCAAGCATGTGTGGGGAAGAGTTCCTATATAGTAAACATTTATCAGGGGAGCTCCCTGAACACACCTTACTAATGGAAATGCTTCACTCGAAGAAGAAATAGTTCAAATTTTATATAAATATATAGATGGTGATGTTAACTTAAAAGTTTAGAGGGCTGAAGGGAACACTGTTGAAACCTGATGGTGTTTTTTTCTGTGCTTTTTGAAGAGGTACGGCAGGTTTCTGTTCAGCTCTGCTGTTGGTTCATATATATTTTGATAAATTAACATGAGCCGCGTCACGACAAAACCAACATAATGGGTTTGCGACCAGCCTGCGCATCTGCACAGTCTGATCAGGATCCATGCTGTTCACTATCAGTTTCTTTACTTGTTATAGGGTCTGTAAGCGAACAGCATGGATCCTGATCAGACTGTGCGAATGTGCAGGCTGGTCTGGATCCATGTTGGTTGCAAACGCATTACGTTGGTTTTGTCATGGAGCGGCTCAAGTCATATATATACATGAGTAAAAGTGCTATGTAAAAGTGCTAATAAAGTTTTTTAACCATTTACTTGAATCAAGTAGCTTAACTTTATTCACAGATGGTACGATATGTAAAGGTATTGAGAAAAAAACTGAAAAAAACTTGAATTTTACCACTTTTGTGGAAGGATCGATGTTTTGGTCTATAATTTAATATGTTAATAGTTATACTTGTACACTGATCGAAGTTGCTCATGCCGAGTCCTTAAAACCTTATAGATTATTTTTACAGTCTGTCGTGATTTTTTTCTTGCATAAAGAAGAAAACCAAATATAGGCTCTTTCCTAATTTATGAAACTTAAATTCTCTCAAAATTATGAAGATTTCCCTGAACCAGCTCAACATTTTAAGCATAGATACGTGTTTAGCTTTTGTTTTATATTTATATATATAAAATTCATATATTAATATCATGGATATTCTTTTTATGCCCACCACATAAGGGGAGTGGTGATATAGATTTGCCTCATCTTTCTGTCATGCTATCTGTCTATAGACAGACAAAATGCTGAACTAGTGGTATATGTGTCCTATGGACATTTTTCTAGTTCACAAAATGAAAACTTAATTTTCCCAGTTTTCTTCCTACTTATACTGTAAAATTTCCCATTTTAATATGTATTGGTTGTTGCATTAAAGAGTCCCTGATAGTAAAGATAGTTATTTCAGCAAAAGTTACCCTTTTGTAAGTGAATTAAAATAATTTTCTTTTTAATTTCATTTATTGAATCTGTGATAATGATGTTTTTGACTGTCAATTTTATGTATAAAATTTTAAGCTGTATGCCTCTAGATGAGCCAAAATATTGCAAACTTTGGAAAAAATGTATTTAGATTATAAAAAAAGTAAAACTATTTACTATCCAAGAAATAATGTACATGTTATATGCAATTGATGACTGAATTTGCAGTATTTATCACCAAATTTCCACTGCATGACTAATGCAATAAGGGCTATTCTGCATTAATTTTTCATACAGCAATGTGTTAATTTCTGTCTTTGCTCACTTGACAATATTTTTACTTTCTGAAACATTTTTAAAACTTAAATGAAAATTAGCATGAATCAGGAGGCTTTAAAGTTTCAATACAGTATTTAATTACCCATTCCATGGTAAATTTGTATAATGGCTTTGTCATGCCTAGGCTTTTAAAGTCTTGTGTCTATAAGAATTGTAAACAATTTTGATTACGAGGTATGAGTAGCTAAAATTAGTTAATTAAACCTGGTTGTAAACTAAAGTTGTGAACAAACCAGACTGGTGTACTTCTGGATAGAATGGACTGGCACTATACAGGTTAGCACAAGCAAGACATTATTTTTTGACTTCCATTATTTTTTTGGGCAAAGTATTGAAAGTCAAACTTCTTTAGAATTAATATAACTTTGATCTCTGGTAATACTTTTTTTTATATCTCCTTTTCAACTCACAAATTACAACTATTTCCTTCTGATGTGGATGTAGGATACACATATTAAATTCAAATTAAGACAACCATACTGCCTGCAAAAATAAAGGGGCTAAATTTGGAAATTTACTAGAACATTGATTTGAATGAAATCTGCTTATTTTTCAGTTCGGTCAGAGACTTAGCTTCTGCTCGCATGAGTGACTTGGTCAGTGGTAGAATGTTATAGTTTGTTATTTTAAGAAAGTACATGCAATGTATCGGGTCAAACTTCTCATCCAACCAAATATTTGTGTTGTAGTGAATACAGTTCTGTAAGTTAACACCAAATATACATAAATCTGCTTGCTGTTCTACTCTGTAAATTACAAAACCCTTTCTTCAGATCTGTCTTATGAATGATTTGCAATTCATTAAATTTGGAACATGACTGTAATATTGAAAGGAATTCTGATTTGAGAATGCTAAAATGCTAAAAGTAGTCCACAGTAACGCATCAGGCCTCAAGGTTATAAAAATTTTTTTTTCCTGAGATCTGTCTTGAATCTCGGGATTTCATTGGTCAGTGCTGGTCTTTGCTGGTTTCTGACCAATCAAATACATGAGATTTGAGTCTGAGCTTGAAAAATTTATTTTAAAGCATGGGGATCTGGTCAGAGAGCACAAAGATGCCGGCTGGATTTCAAAAATCAATATTGTTACAGTCATTTCAAGATTGAACAACTCTTGTTGACTTGAATGAAGAATTACACACTGATAGGTTTGGTTAATTCCCTTTGATATCTTTCCTAAGCACTTGGGTGGTGTAAGTTGACTTTTGTTTTTATAATGTAGGGGATAAACTGTAAACGTTTGAGGAAACATTTCTGTATGCATGAATGATATAAAGCTTACCTAATTGCTGCCACAGGGATTGTGGTGGAAAAGAATGGTGAAACTTGCAGTATTTTAAAGTGATGATCAATGGAGTTTTGGTTGAGAATTTTATTTTTTAACAAAGGGGTTGGTTGTTAACCAGTTACTAAATTTTCTATATATAAATGACTTATTTGATTAGATGCATGTTTTATTAAATTATGTAAAACCTGGGAAAGGATATTTAACGAAATTCTGCAAAAAATGAGAAGATATTTCATGAAATTCTGTTAAACTTTGGATAGAGTATTTTAATGAAATTCTGTAAAACATGGGATAGAATACTTTTAAAAAGGTTCTGTCAAACTTTGGAAAGATTATTTAATGAAATTCTGTCCGTTTTCTGATAGAATGTTTAATGAAATGCTGTCAAACATGTAGTAGGCTATGTAAGGAAATAAACAAAAACATTCTAAGATGGGATAGGATATTTATCAAATTTTTGTCATACAATGGATATAGGCTATTTAACAAAATTGACATATAATAAAATTCTAACATTGGATAGGAAATTTTATCAAAATTCTGTCAAACATAGGAAAAAGGATATTTAACAAAGTTTTGCTCATATGTAAGCTTTTATGGTTGCTTTGATGATGCTATAACTGATGACTGGCGGAGGTTTGACCTATACTGCTGTATTGTGTAACTAAATAGGGCTCACATGCATTACAATCATGTTATATACATGTGTTATATACATCGTTATATATCATTTTGTTGTGAGCCGCGTCACGACAAAACCAACATAGTGGGTTTGCTACCAGCATGGATCCAGACCAGCCTGCGCATCTGCGCAGTCTGATCAGGATCCATGCTGTTCCCTATCAGTTTCTCTACTCGTAATAGGGTTTGTAAGCGAACATCATGGATCCTGATCAGACTGCGCGGATGCGCAGGCTGGTCTAGATCCATGCTGGTCGCAAACGCATTACGTTGGTTTTGTCATGACGCGGCTCAAATATCATTTTACGACTGTATCGTTTTAAGATTTGTTCGCACTAGCTTCATGAAATTTGTCTATTACAAACATGTTGTGAAGTGTTGTTATCTGATATATGGCATTGTTATAGCAGAACTATATCTTTTCCTGTTAAGGGATTTATTTGTTTGTAAAACTGAATGTATTTTTAAATGGTAATTAAGACTGAATTTAAAGTGAAAGCAGACTATTCGCTTATAAGATTTTAATCTTGTTATTGTGTGAAAAAAAGATTTTTGATCAGCTGATTGGGAGAAAGTTCTAGGCATATACGCCATGATGTGATTTTTTTTCCTATGAATTTCCCGAAGTTAATAACTAGAGAAAAAGATATGTTGTTAATTATGTTTTTTTAGGCATTTTGTTTATCCATTTTTCTTAGCATATTTATATACTGGTTGGAGAGATAACTCCAACACTAAATCACATGTATTTTGCAATATCTTAATTATCTTCCTGTATATTTTAAATATTGAACCACCTAAACAAAGTTCACTACAAAAATTATGTATGAAAATGGAATCTGGTACTTCCTTAAGGTCCTGAATGTGGTCTTTCTACCCCACACATTAGGTAAAGTTGACACTTTAAAAATCTTTCCCAAGTCAGTGTTGTTGGGTCAATACAATTATAACTACCTTATTGTAATTTATAAAAAGAAGTTTTGAAGCAGTAAATGTTGAAATATATGGAAACAAATTTTGGCTTTCTTAATTATTTTATGTGTTAAAATATTTTTCCCCCTTTTGTGTTATCTGGTGTAAAGCTATTTGTGCTGTCAGTAATTTGGTGGTATATTTGTTTGTATCTTGGTGAAAATCATACCAAAGCACCTAAACTGAATAAATAAAGCATGAGGTGTGTGCATGATATCATAGCTAAACCAACAAAAGTTGGAGCAGTTAAAATTTGGCTTGTTTTGTAAGGGAATGTTTTATACTGATTTGTTACACATTTCTTTTCTGATACAAGACAGATACACTTTTTTCAAACTTTCTCCAGATAGGGCTATATACAAGAATGTGAAAACGATGTGATTGAGCAAAGTTTTTGACATGTTTTTTGTATATTTGCATGAGTCATAGCTATATGTCCTTAAGTTCCCCCCAGTACGTTTTCGTCATGAACTATTTAGTACAAATACAACAACATACAAAGTTTCTCATATATATTATATTAAATTTTTTGAATGGGATGAAAAAACATTATGTGAAAAAGTTTTCGTATCGAATTTATGTGCCATAGGACATCCGTCTTCTTCCATACATTGATATACAAACTGTATAAATTGCATGAATTAGTTAGACTCCAGTCTTCTTCCATACTTTGTTGTATAAACCATATTTTTTTCGCAATTTGGTAAAAATATAACACCAAAAGCTATTGAGTACATTATATTGCGAAGTATTCAAATGAAAGAGAAAAATATTTTGAACCATATGATTGAACTACATAAAAAACTGAGATTATGCAGGAT